GCCAGCCCCCCGCCCCCCCCTCCGCTCTGGGCGCGGGATTTGTTAAGGCAGGCTCTTTAAACCCAAACCGGGTGGGTTTTTAGCACCTCCGGGAGTTTTGCTAAGGGGTTTTCTTTCGCTTGTTTATTCTCCGAGAGGTTTGGAGAGTTAAGGGGGAGGCCAGACGTCGACATCGGTGTGGGAAGGCAGAGCCGACGGGCGCTCGCTCCCGTCCCTTCGAGCCTCATCTCTCTCCCGTCAAAACACCTTCCAGAGTTCGAGTGCGTGACTTCCCAATCAAGGCGCTCGCTTAATTGCCATGGGTTTGGCAGCCCCCGGGGGACCTCCATCAAGCAGAAGCGGTGGGTTCGCTCCGCTGCGGTGGGATAAACCTCTCTCCTGGAGCAGTGGCTTCGTTTGCAGCTCTTTGGGGGTGGGGGGGGGTTCACCATGATGGACCTCCACCCCTCCCCACGCGGTGGGTTTGACCTTCTTCAGCCCGATCCTGCCCCAAACCCCCAGTTCCGGGGGATAAACTGAGTCATCCCCATCATCCCAGTTATCCCCGTCGCTGCTTTGCCCTCACCAGCACAGCCCCATCCCGCCCAGAGAGGGGGGATACAGCCTTGCCCCCCCCCGCCCCACCTCGGCCCCACCACCCCCGGCACATCTGGCACATCTGGCAGGGGGTTGGGGAAGCGCTTACCCAGCACAGCCAAGCGCGCCTGGCAGAGCACGGCGTGAATAACTTGATTTTTATTTTTTTTTTCCACTTTACCTGAAAAGCGGAGATCAAAGAAGTGTGAATCTACCCGAAGCGACTATTTTTTTTTAATTTAGGTGAGGCAAAAACCTGACAATAACACAAATCCTCAGCTTTTCGTTTAACCTGGAATGAAACTTTTCCAAGAGCTGCGTTCGTGAAAGAGGTCGGAAAATGACACTAAAGAGAACTGAAAAGGGCTTTTCGAGGAAAAGACTTGATTTTTTTTTTTTTTAAGCCGTACGTAAAATAAAACCAAGTTCAACTCCACCGTTTCCAGCCTTGGGCAAGGGGCTGCCATTTGCAGCCGGGGTGAAGGAGGAGGGAACGTGGTCGGTGCTGCTCCGAGCTGCTGGTTTCTCCCGGAGAGAAATGGGGTTTGGAGGAATGGATGTGGGCTCCATCTCCTGGCTCTACCGCCAGGAGAACCCGGTGGGTCTCTCCCCCCGCTGACACGCTCTCCTGACCCTGCTGAGATGGAGAACGGGATAAAGCGAAGGGAATTGATGTCACCACGGAGCTCAGGAACTTCTTTCCTACACCAAACTGGTCTCCAGCCATGGCGGCAGAGCAACAACCACCTGAGATGGGATCTACTTGATGCCTTCACCCCAATTTACTCCATGTACCCCGTCAACACGACGGGGTTCTTCTACGAGCTGTGCCAGTGCCTTTTCATCTGGCAACCAAGGGGTTGTCCCCATCTGCCGTGCACCAGGGCCTTCCAGTACCTAAAGGGGGCCTACAGGAGAGCTGGAGAAGGACTTTTTATTGGGGCATGTAGCGATAGGATGAGGGGGAATGGATATAAACTGGAAGAGGGCAGGTTTAGGTTAAACATTAGGAAGAAGTTTTTCCCTCTGAGGGTGGTGAGCCCCTGGGGCAGGTTGCCCCGAGAAGCTGTGGCTGCCCCATCCCTGGAGGTGTTCAAGGCCAGGTTGGACGGGGCTTGGAGCAACCTGGGCTGGGGGGAGGTGTCCCTGCCCAGGGCAGGGGGTGGGACTCGATGATCTTCAAGCTCCCTTCCAACCCAAACCATTCCGTCATTCTATGAATTAGGGGACATCTAAAAGAGCTCGGGGCTGCGGTGGGTGCTCTGAGGAACGGGGACCTGCTGGAAGGGAGCGCGCGGGGAGGGTTTGAGCTGCCGGCGTAGCCCTGACCTCAGCCTAGCAAACAACCCCCGGGGCGGCCACAGAGCCCCCAACCCACCCCAACCCCAACGCGGTGCCCTTTGGGGACCCCCCGCAGCCCTCTCAGCAGAAGGGATGAGCTTCCATGTCAAACCAACCGCCCCGTTCAAAGGATCCCCTCGAGAAACACCTTCAAGGTTGGACACTGAGAGGACACACACACCTCTCCCCACCCTCCCCAGAACCCACCAAGACGATGCCTCATCCCTTCAAGGAAGGGTTTCGGCACTCAGGACCGCGCGTTTCTCTTACCGTGATGTGGCAAGGAGCAGAGCCGGTGTGCCAGCCACGGGCGGCTGTAGCCCTTGCCCAAATGTCCCCCCTGCGGGGACACGGCGCCGTGTCCCCGAGCCACGTGGGGTGGCTGAGGCAGCCAGGCTTCCCCAAAGGCTCTGGAGCTCCAGCCTGGCTAATGGGGCTGCTTCCAGATGGCCCGTTTCCGGGGGTAATCGATCCAATTTCTGCAAGTAAACTCGACAGGGAAGCAAGCCAGATAATCACGATTTACTGGGTGGAAAATCAGATAAAGGTGGTTTCGGGAGATAAAGGACATTGCGCAACCGATTCGGGGAAATGGAGTAAAGGGATTTAATTAGAGAAGCGACTTCTCTGAAAATTTCTTCAGATTTCCTTTGAATAAAGGCAGCCACAGGAATAAGCGTCACCTCCCTGGCCAGGTAAGGGATAACCGCTTCGGCAGGTTCTAAGCCATGTCCTGCAGGTGCTGGATAAGGTCTCACACGTAAGTGCAACCCCCTGCTCAGGCACCAGCACTTCAACACACAGTAAAACCATGCACGACCACGAGTACTTTCTGAACGCGCTCCCTGCTCCATCTGGAAAGGCGCTGAGCACATCGGTGCTGCAGAAGGGCACGTCACAAGCACGTACCTTTGCCCACCGAGGGTGATGGCACCTTGCGAGCAGGCGGGCAAAGCCAGGCTGTGCCTCCTCCTCCTCGTGTCGACCGTGCACACGCATGCTTGGGCATGGTAAGCCAGCCCTGACCGCCCGTAACGGCTCCCTCCTCTGCCACCCCCAGGTATACCAAGATGAAGACGGCCACCAACATCTACATCTTCAACCTGGCGCTGGCAGACGCGTTGGCCACCAGCACGCTGCCCTTCCAGAGCGCCAAGTACCTGATGGAGACGTGGCCCTTCGGGGAGCTGCTCTGCAAAATCGTGCTCTCCATTGACTACTACAACATGTTCACCAGTATCTTCACCCTCACCATGATGAGCGTGGACCGCTACGTCGCCGTGTGCCACCCGGTTAAGGCCCTGGACTTCCGCACGCCGGCCAAGGCCAAGATCATCAATGTCTGCATCTGGGTGCTCTCCTCCCTCATCGGGGTGCCCATCATGGCCATGGCGGTCACCAAGTCAAAAGGCAAGTGGCTTCTAGGGAAAGGTCCCCTCCTGTCCCATCTGTCCATCCTGGGGGTGACCGTCCTGGCAAACCCAAGCCACCTGGTCCCGTAGTGGGTTGAGCTTCGTGACGAGCACCCCTCCATGAGACCACAACCATGCGTGCTGCCACGGAAAATCCTCACGGTGTTATTTTCCATCTTGGCTGCAAAGGTTGGAAACAGTCCCGGAAATTGTCCTCCCCCTTCCCCATCTCCAGTCCAACCAGTGCCTCTCCCCAGCTCCTGTGGTGCAAATCAGGTGCCTAAAAACACCCCACAATGGTATTGACAAGACCCCAACTGGCCCACACTAAGGTCCACAGCTCCTGTGTGAGGACACCAGCCCTTGGCTGCTGGGAAAGCTCTGGGCATCTAGAAGAAGTAGACAGGTTTCAGTGGAAGGTGACACAGGGACATGTCCACCACAGGGTTTGGGAAGAGGTAGCGTGGGGATGGCCCAGGAGGCTCTGCAGGGAGCAAATCTTTGGGTGGCTGCACCCACTACATCCCGTCGGCACCCCAAGGGCAGAGGGCTGGTGGCACAAAGCGCCTGGGGAATCTCTGGGAAGAGCTGGCAGGTGGGCACACATCTCCTTGTGTTTTTAACAAGCATGGACATGCCCCAGCCATGACCGAGCAGATGGTATTCATAGCAGACACCCCACCGGCTCCCTCTTTGATCCTCCTCTCTCCCACAGATGGGATGGTGCTGTGCACCCTCCAGTTTCCCGATCCTCCCATCTACTGGGACACCGTGACCAAGATCTGCGTCTTCATCTTCGCCTTCATGGTCCCCATCTTGGTCATCACCATTTGCTACGGGCTGATGATCCTCCGCCTGAAAAGCGTCCGCCTCCTCTCAGGCTCCAAGGAGAAAGACCGCAACCTGCGGCGCATCACGCGCATGGTGCTGGTGGTGGTGGCAGCCTTCATCATCTGCTGGACGCCCATCCACATCTTCGTCATCGTCTGGACGCTGGTGGACATAGATAAGAAGAACCCCTACGTGGTGGCCAGCCTACATTTCTGCATCGCCCTGGGTTATACCAACAGCAGCCTCAACCCCGTCCTTTACGCTTTCCTGGATGAAAATTTCAAGAGGTGTTTCCGAGAGTTTTGCCTGCCTTTCCGAGCCCGCGTGGACCAGAACAGCTTCTCCCGCGCCAGAAATACCACACGGGAGCGCGTCTCCACCTGCACCCCTTCTGAAGCCCGCAACAAGCCGGCATGACTAGACGTGGGCAGCCTCCAGCGGGGCTGCCAGGGCCACGGAGGGGACGACCTGCGCTCGGAAGTGACCCAGGTCACCACCACGGAGCTCTAGATCCTCCAAGACTTTTTCATCCTGGAGAACCCGGGATGGGGGAACCAGGACTCACCATCAAAGTAGGGAGAGGACCAAAAATGAGGGGCAACCTGAGCAGAGCTGCTCCCACCGCGGCCGGGGAGAGCCGGCAGTCCCAGACACCCAACAAGGGCTGTCACCCTCCAACACGTGGCTGTCAGCGAAGCCCAAACATCCTGGGACACCGTGATTGCAATGACCATGTGCTTCTCCTGCATGGGCCAAGACGGCATCGCAGTCTGAGAGGAAACACTCCCGTGGCAGAAGGGGACTGTGCCGGGGGGTGATGCCACGTCATGGGGCCTCACTCTATCCCCCTTCTGAGCTGTGTCCAAAAAATGGCCAGAGATGGAAGAGAAAACGATGCCACTTCGGAGACGCTGTTATCAAAGAGCTCCAGGTCCATAGTACAAATTTTACTGGAGTCCTTCAAAGCAGGACTGGTCCCTGAGGACAACTTTCTACTGTTAATGTCATTACTGTATTATTTAGAGACCTCTGACTGCAGCCAGGGCAGCCCAGGTACGGGATATGGATGCGATGCTGGGAACACGGATACGGCCCAGGGGACCGGTGGGGGGACAGAGCAGGGCATGTCCCAAGCTCACCCCATATCCACGTGCCGATGCCAAATTCCCCCGGCGCATCATCCATCAGGGCGACGGGGAACCGCTCCTCGTGGTCCATCTGCCTCCAGAGTCATTAAGTCCGAGAAACATCTTATTAAGGGAACAATTTATGGGGACTTGAGGAGTTTCTCGCAGTGCTAAAGCAATTAGGATGGACTAACGGGCGGCGCTGCGGGGGCTCTCCCTCCCCTGCCCGGTGGGTGAAGGATGAGCGCCAGCACTGCCCGGAGTTCCTTTAGCGAAGCCAAAAAGGATAGGATTTATTTATTGATTTATTTTAGTAGAAGATGGGAAAAAATATCACCATCATTTCGTAGTTCCCCGAGCAGGGGAAGAACAAACGCTTTCTGTGCCGAGAAAGGACCCACAGCCCGCAAGAGGTAGAGGTTTTGGGATTTCATGCTCAGCCCTCCCCTGGATGGAGCGACCGTCCTTCCGAAGAAGCGGCTGAGCTCCATCCTGCAGGAGCCACCAGCCAGGGACCGCTGGACCACATTATCCACCGCTAAACGATGACTGATGGCTCCTCCCAACCTTCCGCTCCCCGAATTCCCCACGCCGGGCTGCAAGCGGCGTCTGAGAGCCGCAACTTTCCCTTCCTCTTACCTTCCCACCGCCGCGGCTGCGGCCGGGAGGTCAAACGGGCCAAGGGGGAGATGGAGGCGGCTCAGTGGGACCGGTAATAGCATTTAGTGGACAAATTGATGCAGCTGGAGGAAGCAGGCGAGCGCCCGGGTGCACCTGGGGCTCGTGGGTTGGATGGAGAGCCTGGATTGCGTCTCTGGTTTTTCCAGTTGCATCAATTTAGCCTAATTAAGGCCATTACCTCTCCTTACCAGCCCTACCTTTCTCCAGAGCCTGTGGAAACTGCAGCCTCTCCGTTGGGAAGGCAGAGCCGAGGAGGCAGTCAAACCCAATTTCTTTTTCAAAGGAACCAAAAAAAGGGTGAAATTGCCCATCTGGATCTCAAATCCAGCACCGCTGACGCGCGCGAGTGATCCTCCTCGTCTGCCCGCACCGTGTTCCCCAGCCCTGAGCAAAAGCCTCTTGCTCAGCACCGCATCTCCAGCTCCCACCCGGGGTTCCTCGGGATCCCTTTGCAGGTACGGATGGAGTCCTGGACCACCAGCAGAGCCACGCTTGGTCTCCTCGTCCCCTGCCACCCCAAGCCCAAGCTGCTTGCGGAGCATCGAGTGCGAGAGGGAGAGGGGCTCGTGGGTTGGATGGAGAGCCTGGATTGCGTCTCTGGTTTTTCCAGTTGCATCAATTTAGCCTAATTAAGGCCATTACCTCTCCTTACCAGCCCTACCTTTCTCCAGAGCCTGTGGAAACTGCAGCCTCTCCGTTGGGAAGGCAGAGCCGAGGAGGCAGTCAAACCCAATTTCTTTTTCAAAGGAACCAAAAAAAGGGTGAAATTGCCCATCTGGATCTCAAATCCAGCACCGCTGACGCGCGCGAGTGATCCTCCTCGTCTGCCCGCACCGTGTTCCCCAGCCCTGAGCAAAAGCCTCTTGCTCAGCACCGCATCTCCAGCTCCCACCCGGGGTTCCTCGGGATCCCTTTGCAGGTACGGATGGAGTCCTGGACCACCAGCAGAGCCACGCTTGGTCTCCTCGTCCCCTGCCACCCCAAGCCCAAGCTGCTTGCGGAGCATCGAGTGCGAGAGGGAGAGCAGGATCAGCTCCAGGGCAGGAATTGGGGGGAAAAACCCTCAGGGTCCCACGGGGCTGAGCTTCAGCTCCATGAGAAGAGAGACTAAGGTGTCCAGAAGGAGTTGGAGACCACCCTTCACCTCTCCACCTCCACCCACTCTGGGGGCAAAACCCTCAGCGCCGTGTGGTGGGAAAGGCTCCCGGTTTGGAGCCGGTTCCTGATGAGGTCCCAGTAAGGTTGGGATGTCCCAGCAAAGGTGGGATGTCCTGGCAGGGTTTGGGTGTCCTGGGGGGGAGGATGAGATGTCCCAGCAAGGGTGGGATGTCCCACGCTGCGGACCAGGACATCCTGAGGCTGGTGTTCCCAGTGGGTCCGGCTCCGCTCCCAGCTTCTCCCCCACCATCACCCTGGGGCACCTCTTCCCCATCCCTCCTCCTCAGTCCCCCCCCCCGTTGGCCAGGGAAGAGTTTCGTGATGCGTGAAGCTGAATTCCAGCTTGATCATCTCAATTTGGGGGGGAAACCCCCAAAACGTGATGACCCGATATCATCGATCTCTTTAACCCCCCTTAGCCAGTCCCTCCGTGTCCCCTAGAAACACCGACCCCGCGCTCGAGGCTGGCAAAGGCGGAGGGCAGCATTTCCACCCCCCCCCGCGGTGGCCGCCGAGAGCA